TTTGTTTGCTTTGTATTTGTTTGTTTTGTTTTGCTAATTTAATTCCTCTTTCGTTGACCTGTCGCGATCTCATTAAGTTAATTATAGGACAACTTGGCTCATCTCTCATTGAATCTCTAGAACACACGATATCGCAATTAATGGGGGTGGGGGTGGAGTGGTGGAGGTTCGTCAGCAAATGACGTCACGCAAAAAAGGTTGCTACATTACTATTCTTACGCTCCCTCCCTTATTTTCTCTTCTTTTAAAAATAAAACACATCTCACCAAAATTCAGAACCCTAATCTCAACCGAAAAAAAAAAAAAAATACAAGCCGTATTGTATTGACCACACACAAACTAGTGTTAAGGACACTTTAGAGCCTACCAATTGACATTTCTAACCCCCCCCCCCCACACACACACACCGTCCCAGTAAAAGGTAAACTGAACATCTTCTTTCAAAAAATGGGGGTGATACATATAACAAAAAAAAATATAATGTGAGATCCGCTGTTATCTGTTGATATCTACTGGATGCAGACGTCGTGACGTCATGCGGTGTGCTGTGAGTGAGCACGCCTGCAGGTATCGTCTGCTAGTGTGTAGCTACACCGAAGCGCACGGTGACCTTTACGGTTTATTTTTTTTTACTGTCTAAAGCGGCGGAGTTAATTTTTTTTTACCTATCCGGAAATGACGTAGCATAACATTTTTGTACTTTAATAGATGTCACAACATATGCTGGCTTTCATATGTTCATTGTATGAAGCACTGGTATTTTTCTCATGGTATTTTTGGTTTCTTTAAGCCCTGGTTTCTCTAGCTCACAAAGCCCTAGTTACTTTAGCTCACAACTCTGGTTTTCTTTAGTTCACAGATCTGGTATCTTTAACTCACATCTCCGGTATCTTTAGCTCACAGATCTGGTATCTTAAGCTCACAGCCTTTGAGACTTGAGCTCACAGCCTTTTTACTTAAGCTCACAGCTCCGGTATCTTTAGCTCTCACACCCCTGGTTTCTTTAACTCACAGCCCTGGTATCTTAAGCTCACAGCTCTGGTATTTTTAGCTCACAGCTCTGGTTACTTTAGCTCACAGCTCTGGTTACTTTAGCTCACAGCTCTGGTTACTTTAGCTCACAGCTCTGGTATCTTTAGCTCACTGTTCTGGTATCTTTAGCTCACTGTTCTGGTATCTTTAGCTCACAGCTGTGGTATCTTTAGCTCACAGCTGTGGTATCTTTAACTCATACTATAAAGGTCTGGTTTTCCTGCGCTACATTTGACTCTCTCATTTAGTAAAACCACTTCAAATGCCCCTCCTCCCTCCACCCCAAATGTAACCCCCCCCCCCCCAATAAAAACAAAGTAAATATTATTTTGTCTACACACACAATCATATCCCCATCATCAGTGTTCTCCCCTTACCTGAGTTGTCTCCATTTACATTCACCAAATGATTTAACACGTTAAACCCGATGCGAGTTGATTGATTTGAAAATAAAACATTTTAAGGAAATTAGTCTCGTCAATTTTTAATCCAATTTTGTTAAGCCTCTTTATCGTTTCGTGGTGCAGTTCATTCTGAAAGGTTTATGTATGTGTAAATTGGCTTTCTTCGACGTGTAGAATAAAAGCATTTAAAATGTTTATAACTGAAAAATTCTGTGCACATAATTGTTTCGGTGGTAATTTAATTTGGACTGGAAATTATAATTGGCCAGATTTCTAAGCGCTTTTTATTATCTTTGTATTAGTTATAAACTGTCGTCTCATTATGACTTGGTCGAGTCGGTAAAGCTTATGGTTACTATACCGAAAAGTCTCTAGTTCGAACCCTCAGGCAGATGAGGCTCGTTAGCTGAGGACAGCCACTTTTCTAGGAGAGACAACTCCAAAATCAAACCACTGCTGCCTTGTAGTTTTTTCTTGGTTGGACAAAGGCTATGGAAGCAAATCCAAAAAAAAAAAAAATGGCGCATAACCAGTTTACAGTCGTATACTTAATTGCGTTGGAGGGGATCCCTTCCAACACTAAAATAAAGAACGAAGAATAAGTCCCATTATGATTTAGGCCGCCGACAAAACTCATTGAGGCAACTCGATATTGGGCTAGTTTCTCCAACTGTCCCCTAGTGGTAACCCATCTTTCTTGTGGTAAGAAATCCCTTCCTAACACATACCAACATATCCTAACAAATCACAACTTAACTAATACCCAACCTATCCTAACAAATCACAACTTAACAAATACCAACCTATCCTAACAAATCACAACTTGACAAATACCAACCTATCCTAATAAATAGCAACCTATCCTAACAACTCCCTACCTAACCTAACAAATCCCTACATAACTTAGGAAATCCTAACTTAACAAAACCAAATCCAACCTAACAAATACCAATCTAACCCAACAAATAACTATCCATTTACTCGAGTGAGTCTACTAAAAGCCCGCCCCTAACCACATCCCGTCCCTGACTGCCACACTAACGAGGACTCGCTACAGCACACGACAAACCTCGGTTGACTTAGTTTTTATTGCATGCGCGTCACGAAGCGTTTCGTGCGCGGAAATGTCAACACGGCAATTTGCAGAAGTTAATCTGGATCCCTTCATTTGTTCACCCGGTCTCCTATTGAAATAAAAATATACTTTAAGGAGGGGGGAATGATTGTGGTTGCGCAAGGGATTAAGGTTTTCGATTATGCACCAAAGGATAGAGATTGCGCGCACTGGATGTCTTTAAAATGGGAGCAGGCAGATGAAGATGTTTGCACACCATGGCGTGAGATAGATTGTGCCCAGTCGGAGTGAATTTGTAGCACATTTATACCGCGTTTACACTTGCGACTTGTATACTTTACACGTCCAGAAAAAAGTCAGCAAGTTAGTATACATGTTCCACGGGAGATATGTTTTCCAATAACATTAATTTGCTCTTGCTGCAAGTGAAGAGTTTATTTTCAAAACGCGATAAGGGCCATTTTTGAAAAAAAAAAAGAGATAACGTAACCATATTGTAAAGCTACTCAATTACTATTAGGAAAACATAATTTTAATCTTCACGGCGCAAAATTTTCATTTTATTTCTATTTTTGAAAAACAGTTTTAGCATATTGTACGATGGCTTTGTGTAGGAGAAAAGTGCGATTTTCTCAAAACCCAAATTTTGGATATATTGCATTTTGAAAATAAACTCTTCAAGTGTAAACGCGGTGTTAAAAATAGCACTAGTGTCTAGGTCGAATGCGTTTGCCTAAAAAACAAAGTATGGCTGTATGGAGCTCATTTTATACGCGATTTCACTTTTATTTTTACAATACTTAAATTTTTTTGACCACATGCAAGTAATAATTTGACCTCTCAATCTATAATTACTTAATCTCCAAACTGTGATCAATTTACAATTCTAATACGTCGATCTTTGTTACCTTTATTCAAACACAAACCTAGCGACGCTTAATTATATATTAAGTTATGATTAAGTTAACCTTTTTCCATGACCCCGACTTTTTTTTATATCTTTGACCCCATATTCTCTCTCTCCCCCTCCAAGTTGACCCCTTTTTCCTATCTCTCCATGACCCCACTCTCTTACCTTAACCCTAACATCTTACCTCTAACTACTGTCACAATCTAGTGCAACTCTGTCACTTCTTTAAAAACTAATTACAACAATTAACCTTGAGGTAGTGTAATCAGTACCGCCATATGACCTCGCTCAAGGTTATCAAAAAACTATTGGCAATTATCGTTTTTAATTAAAAATCCCCCCCCCCCCCCCACTGTTTTCCCTATTTCCCCCACACCGACTGACTAAATTGGAAACTAAATTTAGGTCCGTATTCCAAAACACCAGAACACTATACCGCCCCCCCCCCCACCCCAGCCCAACGGCAGGAAATAAGAAGTATCAGCTTAAAAAAAAACTGACCGCTGCTAGAATTAAAAAAAAAAGTTACTGTGTTTCTGCGTTGAGATACTTGGTCAGCAAGTCGCCATTGTCTTTGACTGTTTCCATCACAGAAGGAGGGGGGGGGGTGGTGGTGGTGATGGTGTTAGGGGGGGGGTGGGATAACGTTGAAATACATTGTATGTGTGTGAAAGAGCAAGTGTGTGGGTGTGAAAGTGTGTTCGTATGTTTGTGAAAAATGCGCAGATACAAACTAATCATACTAATACACTTTAATTTTATCATATATCGTGGAAAAGTGTTTTATTATGCTACAAACAATGTACATGTCATTCTTTGTTAATATCTATAAATGCTCAATTAAAAAACAAACAAAATGCCGTTGCGCAGTTTTTTGTGTTCGCAGTTTTTAGTTTCGTATCTTTCCGGTTACCGTTAAAGTTACATTCCATTGTATATCTTCGATCTCTGTATTCTAACTTTGTGTTGAGCTGCCATACTATCTAGGCCTATTCCATTGTTAATTATTCCATATCTCCGCTCCATAGAATCTAACCCTAACCCTTTACTTAACCTTGCAGCTAATCCTACCGTACCAAAGTAACTAAATTTAAAACACTTAACCGCCAACTGGCAGTATTTTATTTACCTGTCTTGTTCAAAACGTAATTGCCCTAATCCCGGTGGCATACCTGTGCCATTCTTTACCTGGCGTTATCGAAGCGTGTTACAGTAGGTATTATCCCCCTTATTGACTGCCCCTCGCTTCTATAGGCAAATACCGCACCGGAAGATAAGGATCCCATTGGTCGGGATAACCTACTTGTTCTGCCACAAGAAAAAAAGTCGATAGTTCTTTCCCCTTGCGAAGGACTACACAAAAAATAGGCCTTTAATCTCTAAACGTGTTTCGTTTCTTAACTTTTATCCAAATAAACTTTTTATGTGGTGATTTCATTTTAAAGTGGAAAAAAAATTCCTTTATGGATATAGTTATAGTGGAGGATTGTTTAAAATTGGGTTGTGTGTAAATAATGTGTGGTGTATAAAAATGTGTGGTGTATAAATAAAGTCACGTCATTTGTATTAGTCTGTACCTGTCGTGAATTCGATTGACAAGCCAGGTATGCAGTTACATATATAGAGGTATAGGTGGACTGTTTGTGTAATAATTGTCTAGCTGGGTTGCGTTTAAGTAGATTTTTTAAAGAACAGCTTGTTCTAATTAGTGTGAATTAATGAACGAAAACTCGTTATTGTTAACTATTCTCAATGCTGCATTAATTCTCATTGTGTGTAGGATAAATTATTCTCAATGCTGCATTATTACTCATTGTGTATAGGATAAATAAAGCTGGATTATGGATGAGGATTCCGATGTGGATAAAGACATGGATAATTCCCTCGTGGATTTACACCTCGGATTAGACTCGAGTTATGACGAGAACGGAGGCGACACTTTGAGGAATGACACACTCACCGACGAGGGTGAGTGGCTGGTGTGTCGTGTTCTGTGTGTGTTGTGTTCTGTGTGTGTCGTGTTCTGTGTGTGTCGTGTTCTGTGTGTGTCGTGTTCTGTGTGTGTCTTGTTCTGTGTGTGTCGTGTTCTGTGTGTGTCGTGTTCTGTGTGTGTCGTGTTCTGTGTGTGTCGTGTTCTGTGTGTGTCCGTGTTCTGTGTGTGTCGTGTTCTGTGTGTGTCGTGTTCTGTGTGTGTCGTGTTCTGTGTGTGTCGTGTTCTGTGTGTGTCGTGTTCTGTGTGTGTCGTGTTCTGTGTGTGTCGTGTTCTGTGTGTGTCCGTGTTCTGTGTGTGTGTCGTGTTCTGTGTGTGTCGTGTTCTGTGTGTGTCGTGTTCTGTGTGTGTCGTGTTCTGTGTGTGTCGTGTTCTGTGTGTGTCGTGTTCTGTGTGTGTCGTGTTCTGTGTGTGTCGTGTTCTGTGTGTGTCGTGTTCTGTGTGTGTCGTGTTCTGTGTGTGTCGTGTTCTGTGTGTGTCGTGTTCTGTGTGTGTCCATGTTCTGTGTGTGTCGTGTTCTGTGTGTGTCGTGTTCTGTGTGTGTCCATGTTCTGTGTGTGTCGTGTTCTGTGTGTGTCGTGTTCTGTGTGTGTCCATGTTCTGTGTGTGTCGTGTTCTGTGTGTGTCCATGTTCTGTGTGTGTCGTGTTCTGTGTGTGTCGTGTTCTGTGTGTGTCGTGTTCTGTGTGTGTCGTGTTCTGTGTGTGTCCATGTTCTGTGTGTGTCGTGTTCTGTGTGTGTCCATGTTCTGTGTGTGTCGTGTTCTGTGTGTGTCGTGTTCTGTGTGTGTCGTGTTCTGTGTGTGTCGTGTTCTGTGTGTGTCCATGCTCTGTGTGTGTCGTGTTCTGTGTGTGTCGTGTTCTGTGTGTGTCCATGTTCTGTGTGTGTCGTGTTCTGTGTGTGTCGTGTTCTGTGTGTGTCGTGTTCTGTGTGTGTCGTGTTCTGTGTGTGTTGTGTTCTGTGTGTGTCGTGTTCTGTGTGTGTCCGTGTTCTGTGTGTGTCGTGTTCTGTGTGTGTCGTGTTCTGTGTGTGTCGTGTTCTGTGTGTGTCGTGTTCTGTGTGTGTCGTGTTCTGTGTGTGTCCGTGTTCTGTGTGTGTCCGTGTTCTGTGTGTGTCGTGTTCTGTGTGTGTCGTGTTCTGTGTGTGTCGTGTTCTGTGTGTGTCCGTGTTCTGTGTGTGTCGTGTTCTGTGTGTGTCCGTGTTCTGTGTGTTTCGTGTTCTGTGTGTGTCGTGTTCTGTGTGTGTCGTGTTCTGTGTGTGTCCATGTTCTGTGTGTGTCGTGTTCTGTGTGTGTCGTGTTCTGTGTGTGTCCATGTTCTGTGTGTGTCGTGTTCTGTGTGTGTCGTGTTCTGTGTGTGTCGTGTTCTGTGTGTGTCGTGTTCTGTGTGTGTCGTGTTCTGTGTGTGTCGTGTTCTGTGTGTGTCGTGTTCTGTGTGTGTCGTGTTCTGTGTGTGTCCGTGTTCCATGTGTCATGTCCATGTTCCATGTGTCGTGTTCTGTGTGTCCGTGTTCTGTGTGTGTCGTGTTCTGTGTGTGTCCATGTTCTATGTGTGTCGTGTTCTGTGTGTGTCGTGTTCTGTGTGTGTCCGTGTTCCATGTGTCATGTCCATGTTCCATGTGTCGTGTTCTGTGTGTGTCGTGTTCTGTGTGTGTCGTGTTCCATGTGTCATGTCCATGCTCCATGTATCATGTCCATGTGTCGTGTTTAAGATCTGTGTTTCGTGTGTCCATGCTCTTTGAATTGTGTCCATGTTCTGTATCGTGTGTCCATATTCTGTGAATTGTGTCCGTGTTTTTTGTGTCGGTTGTCCATGTATTTTGTCTGTCTGTCTGTTTAATACCTTCACTTTTACCCCACCGTTTCCACAATGACCTTTCAATGGATGTCCGCGTTAAGTTCAATTGGTGACCCCGCTTTAAGTCCTACAGTCCAATTGGTGACCCCGCTTTAAGTCAGACAGGCCAATTGGTGACCCCGCTTTAAGTCCTACAGTCCAATTGGTGACCCCGCTTTAAGTCAGACAGTCCAATTGGTGACCCCGCTTTAAGTCCTACAGTCCAATTGGTGACCCCGCTTTAAGTCCTACAGTCCAATTGGTGACCCCGCTTTAAGTCAGACAGTCCAATTGGTGACCCCGCTTTAAGTCAGACAGGCCAATTGGTGACCCCGCTTTAAGTCAGACAGGCCAATTGGTGACCCCGCTTTAAGTCAGACAGTCCAATTGGTGACCCCGCTTTAAGTCCGACAGGCCAATTGGTGACCCCGCTTTAAGTCCTACAGTCCAATTGGTGACCCCGCTTTAAGTCAGACAGTCCAATTGGTGACCCCGCTTTAAGTCCTACAGTCCAATTGGTGACCCCGATTTAAGTCCTACAGTCCAATTGGTGACCCCGCTTTAAGTCAGACAGTCCAATTGGTGACCCTGCTTTAAGTCAGACAGACCAATTGGTGACCCCGCTTTAAGTCAGACAGACCAATTGGTGACCCCGCTTTAAGTCAGACAGACCAATTGGTGACCCCGCTTTAAGTCAGACAGACAAATTGGTGACCCCGCTTTAAGTCAGACAGTCCAATTGGTGACCCCGCTTTAAGTCCGACAGGCCAATTGGTGACCCCGCTTTAAGTCCTACAGTCCAATTGGTGACCCCGCTTTAAGTCAGACAGTCCAATTGGTGACCCCGCTTTAAGTCCTACAGTCCAATTGGTGACCCCGATTTAAGTCCTACAGTCCAATTGGTGACCCCGCTTTAAGTCAGACAGTCCAATTGGTGACCCTGCTTTAAGTCAGACAGACCAATTGGTGACCCCGCTTTAAGTCAGACAGACCAATTGGTGACCCCGCTTTAAGTCAGACAGACCAATTGGTGACCCCGCTTTAAGTCAGACAGACAAATTGGTGACCCCGCTTTAAGTCAGACAGACAAATTGGTGACTACCAAAAGTGTTGACAGCCTCACGACGTCAAGTCTATTAACATGATAAACGACGTTTCGAACCAAGGCCTTCATCAGCACGCCAAAATCGATCAATAATCTGTCAAGTTCGTGTCTCTATAATTCAATGGGAACATAGCTATATGGTAAACTAGGTAGTGTATCGTATAGGTGTGCTACAGGTGTATTAGATATATGTGTTAGGTAAGCTAAATGTATATTTAAGATATTCGCTGCGTATACCATACGTATATTACAGGGACACTTCATAAGTACATGTTAATCAATTAGTATACATAATTACATATTACTCCATTAGTACATAAGTACATGTTACTCCATTAGTACATAAGTTCATGTTACTCCATTAGTACATAAGTACATGTTACTCCATTAGTACATATAAGTACATGTTACTCCATTAGTACATAAGTACATGTTACTCCATTAGTACATAAGTACATATTACTCCATTAGTACATAAGTACATGTTACTCCATTAGTACATAAGTACATGTTACTCCATTAGTACATAAGTACATGTTACTCCATTAGTACACATAAGTACATGTTACTCCATTAGTACATAAGTACATGTTACTCCATTAGTACACATAAGTACAGGTTACTCCATTAGTACATAAGTACATGTTACTCCATTAGTACATATAAGTACATGTTACTCCATTAGTACATATAAGTACATGTTAATCCATTAGTACATATAAGTACATGTTAATCCATTAGTACACACACGTACATGTACACTCCATTAGTACACATCAAGCCGTAAAAGTACACCATACTAAATGCATACCTCATGTTCAGTGCACGTATACTTTAGGTATAGATCGTATCACGTGATCACACAGACAGGGAGATACTTGGTAAAACATGGTGAAAGTAGTATAGAAAGAAGGGGGGAAATGATGCAAGGATCAAAGATATAATTTTATAAGCTATTCACCTGCATCCAGTCTCCATAAAATAGTTATATATATATATATATATATATATATATATATATATATATATATATATATATATATATATATATATATATATATATATATATATGTGTGTGTGTATGATTAACGAAAGAAGACAATCTTTCCAAAACCCACCCCCAAGACACCATGTGCAGACCTATATGGATCTGTGTTGAAGCAGAGACGAGAAGATCTTCCTGTAAAACCTTGATGTTATCGTGTCGTGTATTGAACACACACTTGACCAGATGTGTCGCATAAGATATTGTACAGGGACACACTATGTCATGTGTGTTATATAGGATATTGTACAGGATACACTTGGCCATGTGTGTCGCATAGGATACTGTATACGACACACTTGGCCATATGTGTCATAGGATATTGTAGACGACGCACACTGTAATGTGTCATATAGGATATTGTATACGACACATTAGGCTATATGTCACATATTGTACACAAAACACTAGGTTATGTGTCACATAGGATATTGTAAATGACACACTAGGCCATACGTGTTATATAGGATATTGTATATAACACATTAGGTCATATGCGTCTTCTAATAATGTACACTACACGCTCTCCTATGTGTCGCATAGCACGTTGACACAACACCTTAGGTCATATGTATCGCATAAAAATTGTGTCAGACACCTTGTCACGTTACTGTACTACAACAACACTCAACACACCACAAATTTAAACACTGATACATACTAAACCAAGTGCATACTTGTCCCCATATATCTAAAATACATGCATAACCATACACTAGCAACATATATCACCAGTCTACGTATAACCATACACTTGTGCCCATATATCTCAAATACACGTATACAGTGGCGTAGCCTGGATCGTCTCAAGGGGGGGTTCCAATTTTTACCCGGGGACAAACTTTCGATTTGCACCCCCCCTCAAACTTTCGATTTGCACCCCCCTCAAACTTTCGATTTGCACCCCCCCCTCAAACTTTCGATTTGCACCACCCCCCCCCCCCTCAAACTTTTTCTATATACCGAGGGGTCTATGGGGGGGGGGGGGGTTATG